TTCAATGAATTCAGTGAAAGTAATACCGTATTAACAGTTTAACTTAAATACATGTATATGTAATTTCTTGATTTTTAATTATCTCCTTTTATCTTGACCATGGAAAAAAGAAAAAAAAAACAAAAAAAACGAGCTGAGCCTTCAAAATTTTTATAAAGTCTCTAATTATTCTTAGATTTTTCTGTTTAAATTTCTTTAAGTAAGCTTTAAAAATTTTATTGATGCAATATCCAATGATATAATATTGAGCATATTCTAGCAGTATTTTTTAAATTCTGTTTCCTGTATTTTAGGGCACTACATGTATATTGAGAGTCAGAGACATATTTTAACAGTATTTTTTATTCTGTTTCCTGTATTTTAGGGCACTACATGTATATTGAGAGTCAGAGACATATTTTAACAGTATTTTTATGCCACCGCAGCATCTGCGATGCGGTGGCATATAGCGATTCACCTGTGTGTGTGTGCGTGTGTGTGTGTGTTTGTTTGTTTGTTTGTGTGTGTGTGTGTTATATAGATTATATAGTGAACTTAAAAAATCTTCTTGTGAAAAACCACTAGTCCAATTTCAACCAAACTTGGCAGGATTGATCCTTGGGTGAAGCGCTTCCAAAGTTGTTCAAAGAATTTCATTCCATGCAGAAATCTGGTTGCCATGGCAACCAAAAGGAATTATAAGAATAAATTAAAAAAATCTTCTTGTAAAGACCCAAAAGGCCTAGAGCTTAGATATTTTGCATAAGGCATTGTCTGTAGACCTCTACCAAGATTGTTCAAATTATAGCCCTGGGGTCAAAATCGGCCCCGCCCCGGGGGTCATTGATTTTCACTATATATAGATATAGTAAAAACTTAAAATACCTTCTTGTAAAGACCCAAAAAGCCTAGAGCTTAGATATTTTGCATAAGGCATTGTCTGGTAGACCCTTACCAAGATTGTTCAAATTATAGCCCTGGGGTCAAAATCGGCCCCGCCCGGGGGTCTTTGATTTTCACTATATGTACATTTAGTAAAAACTTAAAATACCTTCTTGTAAAGACTCAAAAGCCTAGAGCTTAGATATTTTGCATAAGGCATTGTCTGGTAGACCTCTACCCAGATTGTTCAAATTATAGGCCTGGGATCAAAATCGACCCCGCCCCGGAGGTCATTGGTTTTCCTAAAATGTATATAGTAAAAACTTATAGTAAAAACTTTAAAACAATTTCTTCTAGCAATTGACAAATGCTAGAGGTTAGATATTTGGCATGAAACATTGTGAAGTGAACTTCTAGCAAGATTGTTCAAATAATAGCCCTGGGGTCAAAATTGCCCCCGCCCCGGGGGTCATTGATTTTCAATATATACATATAGTAAATAAAAAAAAATCTTATTGTCTGAAGGTACAAGGCTTAGAGCTTTAATATTTGTTAAATGATATCATCTATAGGTACTCTACCAAAGTTGTTCAAATTTTGCCTCTAGTGTCAAAATTAGCCCCGCCCCAGGGGCCATAGGTTTTCCTTATATGTATATAGTTAAAACTTAAAAAAATCATCTTCTCTAGATTTACAAAGGCTAGAGTTAAGATATTTTGCATGAAACATTATGTAGTGAACCTCTAGCAGGATTATAAAAACTATAGCCCTGGGGTCAAAATTGGCCCCATCCCCAGGGGTCATTGATTTTCACTATGTACATATAGTAAAAAATTAAAAAATCTTCTTGTCTTAAGGTACAAGGCTTAGAGCTTTGATATTTGGTATATAGTATTATCTATTGGTCCTTTACTAAAGTTGTTTTAATTATGCCCCTAGTGTTAAAATTGCACTGCCCCAGAGGCGATAGTTTTTCCTTATATGTATAAAGTAAAAACTTGAAAAATCCTCTTCTCAGAATTGAAAAATCCTCTTCTCTGAATTGACAAAGGCTAGAGGTTAAATATATGGCATGAGACTTTGCGAAGTGAACCTTTACCAAGATTGTTCAAATTATAGCCCTGGGGTCAAAATTGGTTCTGCCCCGGGGTCATTAATTTTCATTATGTACATATAGTAAAAAAATAAAAAAATATTTTTGTCTGAAGGTACAAGGCATAGAGCTTTGATGTTTGCTATATTTATATATATCATCTATAGGTCCTCTACCAAAGTTGTTCAAATTTTTTCCCCTGGTGTTAAAATTGGCCGTGCCCGGGGGCAGTGATTCTCATTATGTACACATAGTAAAAACAGAAAATAAAACAAATGTTTTCTGAATGGAGAAAGCTACAGCTTAGATTTTTTGACTTGAAATGTTGTTTGGTGGACCTGTATCAAGATTGTTTTGAATTAAACCCTTGGGTCCAAAATTTTGCCTTGCCCAAGGGGACAGTGACCTACTTTCTTGTCCTTTGATGTACAGCAATGAAATTTTGACCATGTGCACAGTTTTAGTTGTAAAATTGAATTTTGATATCAGGTGACCTAGATTTTGATGATGTGACCTACTTTCTTGTCCTTTGATGTACAGCTATGAAATTTGAACCATGTGCACAGATTAAGATGTAAAGTGAACTTTGATATCAGCTGACCTAGATTTTGACAAAGTGTCTTACTGTGTTGTCCTTTGATGTAGTCATGAAATTTAGGCTGTTTGAAATATGACCTTCACCACCAAATTCACTAGACTTGAGTGCATTGATATATTCCTACTCTGATCTTTTATTGAGTTAACAACAGATTTAACCACTAATCTGATAAGAATTAGATAGGTCAGGGATCTATGCATTATGACAATCTACAAAATTGAATAGAAACAAAAAAAATCTGTTCCTACACTACTATTTAGTGTTGTATTAATGCGGTGGCATAGCATTTTTCTCAAATGCAATCTTGTTTATTCTGTTTCCTGTATTTTAGGGCACTACATGTATATTGAGACTTCAGCCCCAAGGGTAGCTGGTAACAAAGCATGGCTTGTCAGTCAACAGTTTAACCCCTCTAAGACTACACAGTGTATTTCTTTCTGGTACCATATGTATGGAACAACTATTGGTATGTCTCCTAGCCTTATAATTTCATTTTAAATCTGCACCTATATTTTGTGTGTTGCAACATGTATATATTTTCTAGATATATATTAAGGTCTTAGTAGGATAAAATTGTATTCATGAATTACAGCATTTCACTCAAAGTTAATAATATAACTGCAAATGTAATGATATTACGTTGTTTCTTTCTAAGGTGCACAATGTAAATTTGAAATCCTACTCTTTTTCTATTTTTTAAATGTTTATGTTAACAAAGTTCAGCAAGTAAATTCATAACAGTCAGTTTCACATATTGACTCAAAAGCAATATACATTTTCAGGCTCTTTAAATGTGTATCTCAATGCATCTGGAAGCATGACACAATTGTGGACCCAAACTGGGAACAAGGGAATTAACTGGTTACAAGGACAGTTCCCATTACAGCCAGTTAACTCCCTTTACATGATATACTTTGAAGGGGTTAGAGGATCATCATATTCAGGAGATATTGGTTTAGATGATTTCACGTTTTCACAATCATCCTGTGGCTGTAAGTTGTACATAAGTCATTATACCCCCCACCCTTAGTCTTCATATTTGGCAATGGAGGTTAGTCATGATTAGTAGATGACCCCTATTGATTTTTAGGTCACTAGGTCAAAGGTCAAGGTCACAGGGGCCTTGACTTCAAAAAGCTTGTCCGCTCAATAACTTAAGATTCCTTTGACCTACAGTCCTCATATTTGGCATGGAGGTTAGTCATGATTAGAAGATGACCCCTATTGATTTTGAGGTCACCAGGTCAAAGGTCAAGGTCACAGAGGCCTTGACTTCAAAAAGCTTGTCCGCCCAATAACTTAAGATTCCTTTGACCTACAGTTGTCATATTTGGCATGGAGGTTAGTCATGATTAGTAGATGACCCCTATTGATTATGAGGTCACCAGGTCAAAGGTCAAGGTCACAGGGGCCTTGACTTCAAAAAGTTTGTCCGCCCAATAACTTAAGATTCCTTTGACACACAGTCGTCATATTTGGCATGGAGGTTAGTCATGATCAGTAGATGACCCCTATTGACTTTGAGGTCACCAGGTCAAAGGTCAAGGTCACAGGGGCCTTGACTCCAAAAAGCTTGTCCGCCCTATAACTTAAGATTCCTTTGACCCACAGTCTTCATATTTGGCATGGAGGTTAGTCATGATTAGTAGATGACCCCTATTGATTATGAGGTCACCAGGTCAAAGGTCAAGGTCACAGGGGCCTTGACTTCAAAAAGTTTGTCTGCCCAATAGCTTTAGATTCCTTTGACCCACAGTCTTCATATTTGGCATGGATGTTGATCATGATTAGTAGATGACCCCTTTTGATTTTGAGGTCACTGGGTCAAAGGTCAAGGTCATAGGGACTTTGACTTCAAAAAGTTTGTCCACCCATAAACTTAAGATTCCTTTGACCCACAGTCTTCATATTTGGCATGGATGTTGATCATGACTATAAGGTGACCCCTATTGATTTTGAGGTCACTGGGTCAAAGATCAAGGTCACAGGGACCTTGACAAAAAAAGCTTTTCTTCTCAATTGTTAAAGAATGTCCTGTCCGCAATGTATTGATTTTGACATTTTCACATTTGAAGCATGTAGAATACATAACTTAGCAATGCACTGGCTTAGTAACCTCAGATTTGGCAGGGAGGTTGTCCTTGAGCTTTAAATGGCCACTGTTGATTCTGACAAAGTGGTATGCGGGGGTATTCACGCCATGATAGTGGCAGTTCTAGTTATTGTAGATATTATAGATAAAGATAGAAAGGCTTAATTTTTATGAACATTTTATAAATGATTTTATTGGTTATCTGATTATTTAACAGTAATTTAAAATTCTGAGATTAAGAGATCCCTATGGAGTAGTAAAAATCATACTGTTAAGTGAGTCAGTTGGTAAGGTATTGTCCTTTCCCCAGAGCAGATACTATACTTGAAAAAAAAAACAACAGACAAAAGACAAATATAACTGGTACCTATAGAATTTGTAGTGCTATACCCAAGATATGTTAAGATCTTTGTAAGATGAACAAAATAAGTAAAAGTGGGACAAACAATCAACACAGGATGAGTTATAAGGTTTATTTAATGATGATAACCGACGTTTCGACTCTCACAAGTCTTTATCAGGGTTTCAAAATATCAGAGTGTTTTTTTTAGGGAAGTTATATTTTAATAAATAACTTTTATTGGTGAAAAAGAAGTAAATTCTCTTTAAGCTTTGATGTAAATATATATCCGAAGATTTATACTAATTATATATTGTCCAATAAAAGAATGACTTGAATGACCTCTTTTAAATTTGCTAAATGTACACTTTCTACGATATTTCAGACCAACCATCCAATGGAAAGCCTGGCAAGATTAGCACCACTCCACAATCTAGTACTGTGTTACCAACATTCCGTAAGTACTTTGGCTATATGCTTAAATATTTTAGATAATTATATGTAAATAACAGTTTGTACCTGAAATAATGCATGGAAGGGCACCTGAGGTCTTCCTCCACCAGTAAAGCTGGAACGAAACCATATTAAGTATTCTGTGTCAGTGTGACATAAAACCCAATCAAAAAATGTAAATTAACTGGCCAAAAAGAAAGCACAAATCAAACATTTAACATTTTCACAGTTACTTTGTAATGATATTTTTTGCTTTGAATTTTTTATATTTGTTTATTATGAGTATAAGGGATTTTCATATTAAACTAATGAAAATAATCAGCCAGCAGGTCAGACCCTGATGAGATATTATTATGTGACCAGGCTTTATACTAGTGGCATACGATTACGCAAGTAAAAAATTACAGTTAGCATTCTAGGAGTTAAACCAGACTATTATAACTTTCAGAATCTAATTCCAAGTATGACTGTAGTTTTGAGACTGGTAGCTTGTGTACATGGACACAAGATACCACTGATAACTTTAACTGGACATTATCTCAGGGACCTACAGGCACCATGCTTACTGGACCAATAGCTGATCATACCACAGGCACAGGTAAGTTATGATGAAAACATTTCAGTATTGTTGATAAAAAGTGGTGTAGCAGTGTGAAACCTGTTGATACTCATCATTTGTAAGATTTTAAAAGCTTAAAAAATCAGTGATTGAAATAATTACAAATAGAATGGATCTGCTGAAAATATTGAGTCAAGTAATTTTGTTTTATCAAGTTATCATGATTTTTTATGTTTTCAAAGAAAGGCAAAGGTATGAACATCTTTAAAGCTATATTTAATCAATCATGTAATTTATTCTAGTACATTATTCTTGTAAAATTTTCTGTTATATTTTTAAAAACATTAGTGGTGTTAAGGTTCCAGTAAATAATGCAACATTTTGTACAAAACAATTTGTTTTTAGATAAAGGATGGTATATCTATGTTGAAACCTCATCACCAAGGAAACCTAATGATAAAGCTCGGCTTTTGTCTGCACAAGTTCCAAGCAGAAATGCATACTGTCTGAAATTCTGGTACCATATGTATGGACCTCATGTAAATGCACTCAACATCTACAAAAAGGTACTTGTTTATAAAATCTTTTAACCTTTTTTATGTGTGACCTTTTTTATTAACATAAATTATTATTGCTAATAAAAGCTTAATAAACACAATTTTAATTGATAATTTTTTTCGTGGATATGCATGATATAAGAACAGATTTAGAGCATCATTATAAACCTATTACAATGTATTACATTGCATTTCTTTTTCTTTTTTTTGTTATCATAAAAATCTAAGTATAAATGTAGAAAATTACAACCAGTATCTGTTCATGAACCTAAATAAATGTTTAAGATCACTATTATGTTTTAAAATTGTTAATGGGCATTTGAATAGGGTTCCATTTTAATCATGAATATTAATGTTATAGACAAGTTCTCTGGGATCACCAATCTGGACTAAACTAGGCACACAGGGTAACCAATGGAAATCTGGACAAGTTAATATCCCTGCATCTACTACAAACTACAATGTTGCCATTGAAGGTGTGGTTGGGCCTGGTTACCGTGGTGATATAGGGATTGATGATATACATATGGTACCCGGAGCTTGTCCAAATCAAGGTAAAAATTATTTCATGTTCTCACAAAGTTTTGGTCATGTAAACAAGGTGTGAGAGAGAAAAAAATCCCCTGCCTGAACCAAATACCAAATACATTTTGTATTAAATAAGCTTTTAATTATTAATGATTTAAAAAAAAAAAATGAAAGTACCTATATGATACAGATAAGTACAGAAAAAAAAATATATTCACAACTGTTGGACTTGATCTGTTTTAAAATGTAATAGAAATAATTAATTTGTTGAAAAAATTATGATCTGTAAGCAAAAAGAATGTATAACAACATTTTTACAGTGTATTTTACCTTGTGCATTTAAATTATCAAAAAAAAAAGTTTCCATGTTAGAGAGGAGAGGAGATTTATGGTAGATATTATTTGTTTCAGGTGGAGTAGCTTGCTCATTTGACACTGATCTTTGTGGATGGGCTCAGAGTAAATCGGATGATTTTGATTGGACACAGCGAGCTGGTTCCACCTCATCTAGTGGAACCGGTCCCACTAACGATCACACTACAAATACTCGCTCAGGTGAATTTTTATATTTGTTTATATGAAATTTCAAATGCAGTATATGGCTGAAAAACTGCAGACTTATAACTCAACTAAAAATGTACGGGATCCAGGATTAAGCTTAGGTACCATCAACTTAAATTACCAAATGTTCCATCAGATGACTCTTTAAAACAAAACTTTGACTTGTGATAAAGTGTGTTACTGAAAACCAATTATTGAAGAACATACATATAGATTATAGATCATAGTTTCATAGCTTACTTAGCATGTAGCAGCGTTTCAGTGGGGATAATTATAATTATTCAGTCCTTTAACTTTTGGCTTTCTTTAATTCCATTTTGGAACTGTCAGTTATCAAATATGGGTATATCAAGATGTAAATATAAAAATAAGGAAAGCTGTTAACCATAGAAAGTTATTGAAAGTGAAATTATTTTTGTTTTAGGTTCCTACATATATATTGAATCAAGTTCACCAAGACGACCAGGACAGAAGGCGTGGCTAGTCAGTCGTCAGATTGGCTTTACCTCACCACAGTGTCTGAACTTTTACTACAACATGAATGGTAAACATATAGGTAGCCTGAATGTGTATGTGAAGACTGGAGCTATGTTACCTTCAGCCCCAGTCTGGTCACTATCTGGACCTCAGGGACCACAATGGGCATTAGGCCAGGCTACAGTGAGAGCTAACATACCTTACAGGGTAAAATATTAATTATATCACTTGTTAGTGTTATTGGACTTAAGAACACATATATGTTTGTATTCAAGTTATAGCATACATGAAATGATTCGTTTTTAAGAGAAATGTGCTGATCTTGTAGGTAATGAAATTTTTATTATTATGTGTTACACACTCCAAAGTACACAAATGAGATATCCATACAGTAATGATAATGCACTGCTTTTCCAGTTCAATGCAAAAGCATCTGTTACTATTCTATGTATTTTTTGTCTCAGTTTATATGGAAGGAATAAAGTCAGTGTTTATATATGTTGAGGTTGGGGTTTGTGGTAGAAGAAACACTTAATCAGTTTCTATATTTATTCACTCACTGGTACTAGAAGAACCTGAATGTGTATGTATGAAGACTGGAGCAAAATAAACAATAATAAGACAAATGACAAAGAGAAATATTTGGTCTGGCCTTTAAGAGAAATTACCTTAAACACTATGAATAGAGAACTTGATTATTTTTAACCTTTTCTACATATAACTATTATTTTCAGATTGTGTTTGAAGGTGTGATAGGAAATGGTTACCAGGGTGATATATCTATAGATGATATCAGTATGACAAACTCAGCATGTAAACTACCAGGTAATGTCAAATGATAAATGAGTCGTACCATGACAAAACCAACATAATGGGTTTGCGACCAGCATAGATCCAGACCAGCCTGCGCATCCGCGCAGTCTGATCAGGATCCATGCTGTTCACTTACAAACTCTATTACAAGTAGAGAAACTGATAGTGAACAGCATGGATCCTGATCAGGCTGCGTGGATGCGCAGGCTGGTCTGGATCCATGCCGGTCGCAAACCAATTATAATGGTTTTGTCATGGCACGGCTCAAATTTAGTTAAGTTTAAGTTTATTGTTTTGGATGGTTACTTAGAATTACTTGTCTATCAGTGCTATGGGTTAACAGCCTGTCTGGAATATTGAATTCTCATCTGTAGTAGTGAAATTAGATGATTTAATCACTCAAACAACATAATTATTTTACTTGTTTGCTTGTTTGTAACCTTAAAAAATTCTCAATACTGAATATGATATCAGTATAAACATACATGTATATAAACATAAGTGAAATAATTCTATATCAGTGACAATAATGAGAAGAAGGTCAATGACTGTTGTAATCTCTATGCTTTCAGTATGAACTTGACATACCAAAATTATTTTCAGGAAATTGTGATTTTGAGGGAGGTCTGTGTACATGGACTAACCCAGGTGGTATAGATAATTTTGACTGGGTGCTGGGACGTGGTTCAACAGCTTCACAACTTACAGGACCATCTACTGATCATACTCTTGGAAATGCAACTGGTAAACTAGTGTTAATTGATGCTTTTAATATATAGAAAAAAGAAAACTTCATGTAAACGTTTTTTTAACAACATGTGTGCTGTTTTTTGCCTTCATTCATATGACATGCATGTTATGAAATTATTACTTACTTTAAGGTACAAATTATTTTTGTCACAGTATCTCACAAGATACTTCAACTTGATTGTAAAAAAATGTCACAAAAAAAGACACATTCAAATACAATTGTATCTCAAATCTCCATAAATGGTCTAACATTTTCACCATTATTATTTTAAAATTTCACTGTTCTTGAGAACTTGTTTATGTACTGTTTGATATGAATAAATTTATTGTTACTTTTATATAGGACAATACGTATTTATTGAGGCATCAGCTCCAAGAAAGCCTGGAGATAAAGCTGATCTTAAAAGTTTAAAGTTTGCCCCTACCCAGCCTAAATGTGTGAATTTCTGGTTCAACATGCATGGTAGTAACCTTGGAAGCCTTAGTGTGAAAGTGGTACCAGCAAATAATACCAACAGTAGTACAACAATATGGCAATTAGGACAAGACAAGGGCACAGCATGGATCAATGGACAAGTTGCCTTCTCAAGCAAAGTGCCGTTCTATGTGAGAATCTACAGTGTTGAATTTTTATCCTTGCAAAACATCTGTAAATTGTTTTTTTTTCTTTGAAAGTTGCATGGTATAACAGTATTTATTAGTCTTTCAAATCCATATCAGTGAATTAGACCTTTGCATATTTATTTTATTCTGATTATTGTTATCAAACTTGGAATTTGTTTCTGGATTTATAAGAACTTATTAATAACTAAAAGTCCCAATATTGATATAATGAAAACCTTTAACTAAGAATAAAGAGTTAACCCTTTTTTGTAATGGAGTTGTGAAATTGTTTTTTGATTTTTTGTAGATTATATTTGAAGCTGTGAGAGGCAATGGTTACCAAGGTGACATCGCTCTTGATGATATATCATTTACAAACTCTCCATGCTTGAGTAAGTAATAATACTTCACCTACATTTACTTTATGAATTATGGCGTTCTTTGTCAATTTTTAGGTGTTACAATTGAGTGCACGTCTACTTCCAAAACTTTAAGTACAACCTCTGATTACCGCATCAGGGAATCATTCAGTTTAACTTCTGGTACCATATGTACGGTACCCATGTCAATACACTTCTAGTCTACCTGAAACCAAGTACTGTACAAGGTCTTGGAACCAATATTTGGAAACAAATTGGTAACCAAGGGAACAAGTGGATACTTGGGGAAGTTACAATAGCACCATCTTCACCTAGCTACAAGGTACACTGTCTTTCAGTTAAACAGTTTGCAAGCATGTCAGTTCCTTTCTTTAATTAACAACTTTTTTCAGGTATGGTTAACATTGTATTCAGTTTTTGATACAATAAAAGAAACATCTACAATAAGTCGTTTTATAGATGTTAAGTTCTTTCAAGAGTTATTTTATTCATTGCTGATCAGTAATTGACCAAATGTGAATTGATGTATTAACTGACATGCCTAAATATACTATGAAAAATGAAGTAAAACCAAGAAAATTGAACATTGCTTTTAGGCTTTTCTTTTTCATTTCTTTCAATACATAGTTATTCCTTTAAAAATGGAAAAAAAATGATATGTTTGTAAAGATGATAGACTCTGCTTTTCAGGTTATATTCCAAGCTCTACGAGGAATCAGTTACCGTGGTGACATTGCTCTAGATGATATCAGAATGTCTTTAGGAGCTTGCAAACAAGCAGGTAAGATACTTTAATATGATTTGTATATGACTTCATATATCTGTTAAAACATTTTATTGAAGTGATTATTTTTTTTATTTATCATTAACCAACATGTTCAATTTCTAACACAGCTATGACTTGTGACTTTGAGCAGAGCTCAATTTGCAACTACGTACAGGACCAATCTGACACACCCAACTTTGACTGGACTTGGAAATCTGGTGGTACTGGCTCAGCCAGTACAGGACCACCTTCTGATCACACTACCGGAACCCGAACTGGACATTATATCTACATTGAAACATCAGCACCAAGGCAACCAAATGACACTGCTAGAATTTCTACACCAAACTACACACCACAGGTTAATAATATATACACATAACAAGGATAAAAAGTTTATAAATAAGATTTCCTTGTGAAATAAAATTCTAAGTTGTTTAAAGGATAGAATATATTATATATTACTAGTCATCGCTTGAATAGTGAAATTGACATATCTGATAAGATTTGCATACTCTTCTAAAGAAGTCTTATTATGAATTTTAAAATAAGGTTTTGTTAATGATGATGGAAGAGTGATTACAAGAATATGCAGATTTGTACTGCATTTTAAGCTCCTTATTAAAATTTCTAATTTCATGCCATCAGGCATATCAATATTGACAGTGTTTAAGTATGCCTTTTATTACATGTACTTAAAAAAAGCTAGGACAAGCAATGGAAGATAAGCTTTGTATTATCTTTTGTCAAATATATGGTAAAAGTACTATGCTTATAGATTGATTGGCAATTGGGTGCATCTGCCAAAGACCGCTTATCTAGTTAAAAGTTGCTTGTCATTTTATATCTTTTCCCAGAGATAAGCATTAATAACTGGATTTTAATCAGTATAATATTTCTGTTATATTTTTAGAGTTCTGCCCCTGTGTGTGTCAAGTTTTGGACACATATGTTTGGAGTTGATGTCAACACACTGAATGTATATCTTGTTAACAGTCAACAGCCCTCTAAGAGAAACCTAATATGGACACGTTCACTAAACCAGGGTAATGCATGGAGACAAGCAGCTGTCACTGCTAACCCTAGTGGTCAATACAAGGTATGCACAATTAATTATTGTATGCTTTGTATAATGAGCTTGGTCTGCTATATATTTTGATGTTTTATCCTTATTTGTAGAGGTATAAAGATAAAGCAAATTAAATTAAATAAATCTAAAATTGGGCTGTACATTATAGAATCAAGCATGTTCAGAGTAGATAGAAAATGGCATGTCCTAAGTGTGGGTCTGAAAAAGGATGGTTTGACATTTTACTTGCTTACTTTAATGTAATAAAGCATTTGAAGTTAAGCAATGTAATAATATGACTGTGAAAATTGCAATATAAAGTCATAATGCAGCAGCATTTGTTTATTTCCAGATTGTGTTTGAAGGAATTAGAGGAAAAGGTTACCATGGTGATATAGCAATAGATGATGTCTCTATCTCAAATGGGGCTTGTAGTGGACAAGGTTTGTAAAAATTGTTATAAATATTTGTAAGATATAACTATCTGTTATTTATTTGGTTCTTACTTAATTGATGCTCATTATGTTGAGAGACAGATTTTATTTTCAATCTTATTTTAAGTCACTGATATTCTTTTGAACAGACAAATTTTGAAGAAAAAAAAAATTATTATTTTTTAGCCTGATATAAAAATCATTGTGAATCTTTCTATAATGTCATAGGATCATATGTTTAATCTAGATTTTTTTAACCAATGACTATAGGCTAATTATCTTTTTTAAAAACAAATGTATACATTTATAATTGTACAGGAGACAAATGTGACTTTGAGAAAGATACATGTTTCTGGAAGAACATAAACCAAGGGGATGATTTTGATTGGTTAAGATCTCGTGGGAAAACAGGCAGTTCATTTACTGGACCAAGTACAGATCACACACAAGGAACCAACTCTGGATACTACATGTTTATTGAGACAAGTGCCCCTAGGGTTAAAGGTGACAAGGCAAGGCTTATCAGTAAGGTTTATCCACCGTCAGGACCAAAGTGTTTCAACTTTTACTTCTACATGTATGGTGCTGACATTGGATCTCTCAATGTTTACGTTCTGACCAACGCCTCATCATCAGCTTTCTCCTCGGAAGCATTGAAATGGACAATGTCTGGAGAGAATCCAAACAATTGGGAGCAGGGATCATTCAATCTCACTTCCCAGTATACATCAAACCCATATGAGGTATTTACTTTCGAAATGTTGATGCATTAGAAATAACACTCTTAGCTATCTTAATCATTTAGTAATATATAAGGTTTACATGTAAAATTCACCCGAAACAAGGCCATAAAGGTCATATATATTTTTTTTTCGTAAAGCATGATTATTATTATCATGTAAGCTAAAACTACGTTTCGTTATTAAACTAATATCATATTTAAGAATTTACTGAATGAATTTGATACTGAAGCTTTGAAAGAACTGTACTGTGTAAGCAATTAATCTCTCAATACTGTTTTATATGTATATTTCACATCACACTCATGCATTGAGTACCCATTCGTTATATGTACACATGCCAGTATTTATCACAGCCTGAAGCATTGGTTTGGATAAGTCGTTTAGTCTTTCAATATGTTGTTTTCTGATTTTTGTTTACTGCTCAAGAATGTGATAAAGGCTATGTCGGTCTTAAAATAAAAATGATTAAAGGGCAGATTGAAATAAATTCAATAATTAGCATTTTCAAAAACGCTACAAATCGCCATTCAACTGGTTTTCGAAAAACCTACTCGTGAAAAAAAACTCATTCCTGAACAAAAGAGCTGATGTTTCTTCTCTTAACAGAAATATTCCATATATTGTTTACCCAGTAGCACCCACACACTGGGTTCAAGGTTTGCATATGATGAAAGTACTTTAATTCTATATAAAGCTAACACGACAAAAATATGGCGGATGGCGTGCACAGAAGGGTTCCCTTTTTGAGTTTTTTTACTTTCAATTTGTTATCATGTGGCATTAAAGTATGCATTTTGAATGGCTTATGGAGAGAAATGGTTGAATCTTGTTAATTGTTTATGTTGCCATCCAGGAACAGCAACTATAACAAAACATCTAGGTAAGGTAATGTAAACCTGTGACTTGTAAGAAAATTAGGGTTGACTGGGTTGGAGATCACCCTGGAGACATTCTTTTTGATTTAAGGCCTTTTATGGATTCTACTGCAAAATAATAAGGCTATGAGCGTATTATGCCATGATCTCATTTGACTTGGAACCTAGTTAGGTCAAGGCTATCGGTAATTTGAGGTTGGAAATTCAATAGCAAACGCAACTGTAACGCTTTCATTTTAAGAATCAGCTAAATCGCAATTGAGAACCTGGTGAATATTTTAAGTTTTGGCAAAAAGGGTAAATGCTTGACCTGAGAAAGTTGTTAACATTTAATAACGTGGCTTGTTTTAAAACAAGTCTATTAGGACAAGTGAACTATAACGAGTGGCTTAATATTAACTTTTGTCATCCCAACACAATCAATGAGGCCAACTCATCGGTCAATAAATACCAACAGGACTATTTGTCGATATTTTTGGGGGGTAAATGCAGAAAATTTATGGTGGTTAGGGAGTAGTGGTGGAGTAGTGGTGGTAAGAACTGATAAACAATCATACGGTCATACCAGTCTTCTGATTACCCTCCTACAACTTTTATATGGGAGCTCGCTCTCAGATTAAATAATTTTGCCGTTGATACTGAGTGTCTTGGGGACTTAGGTTGAGTGATAGTGGTGGTTATGGTAGCTATAGGAAGGAGTATGTCCAAGTGAGTAATGGTGGGGGAAGAGTAGTTTAAGAGTGGCTCAACCTCTGACCATTTGGTAAATGTTGGGAGTAAGGATAATTGCAAGAAAAGCGGTGCCTGAATTATATAAGTATACCCAGTGATTTAGTGGATCATTACCTTTAGAAACAAATTACCCAAATTATACACGTATTATGAGTTGTAGTAGCCATAATCAGACCTTTGGCAAATTACTTTAGAAAATAAGTGATTAAGTCACAATTATTTCTTATTCTTTTACAACAGTTACAATGAATTACTCTAACTTTTCACCAGAGATTTACAGAATAACATTATTTTTTCGTGGGCAATTATGATAACTTCTGATTACTTTCTATTGTCTCATTTAAAAATTGGTAAGACCTAGCTATTTTGTGTTTTATTAACAAATTTGGAAAATATTTGAATAACAAAACCTATGCAAATATGAAATATTTATTCAAATACTTTTGTGTGTAATAAAATGAATGTATCACATAAGTGTGATAATACAAAGCAAACTTTTTTATTTGAATTCGGTACGTATGTATATACAATTTCATGTAGCAGAAGTATTGTGTTGAAGGATTACAATTACAAAAGTCTTGGGCAATTTTAGCCTGGATGTGCATGTTGTAGTTTATCTGTTTGGCTGACATCATAGTTGAACACTTTGTCGTAACCTACTTTGTGCAAGCTTCAAGTACAAGTTACTGTTATTAAAAAAGAAAGCCAATACGTTTGCAAAATAAAATTGCTTATAATGTTAATTATTCATAAATTGCGTGGTATAGGGTTTCTTGTGAAGAAAATAAAACGAGCATTTAGCAGAATTTGAAGTCATAACTATGACATCTCATTCGATGAGAATGTCACAGGGCGTTTAATATTGCTCATTCAGCCACCGAAAAAACTTTTTTTCTTAGTCTGGCCAAGAGTTCGGAGGTTTTTGATTCAATATGAGTTTTATAATATGCATTTTTAATTAACTGTGAAATATTCGGCGCATTAGCACTTGCAATTCAGAGCTGATGCATTTTCACTATGACATTATGGATAGATAACTCAGCCATTATGAAAAACACATCCATTACGAGAAAAGTCGGCCGTTATAAGATTCAGACATTCTGACCGAATGTTTGATATGGCCATTATGAAGCTCACGCTAAACATTGAAAAATCCAATGCCATTTCATTATTTATAATAATTAAAGGTTTTCATAACTGTACTCTTATTTAGCTTGAACGCTTTGGCTTTATAACAATGTCATTATGAAAACAAACTCCAATTATTGACATCATAGTAACACAGCTTTTCCCTAATGTTGTTGCTTTAATGGGCCAATAAATGAAATTTGTAAGTATCTGGAAAGGGCATTTTAACTGGGATCAAAATATAAACCTATAGATGCTCATGCATTTCAGCTTGTAGATATGTAGATGTGTATTTAGGTGATGCATTAGTCTCAAGATGAAGCCTCATTCACTGACATCTGACTTGGAAACCAGTGCATGCATGAGATGATAGGATTGTTTGACAGTAATAAGACATCCTTTAGTGAAGCAAAATTAAAGCTAAGCTGTTATATAAGTGTTATTGGTTTTAAATTTCTAATGACTATATTAATCATCCTCCTTAATATTTCCTGAATTTCAATATCGCAATAAGTGAATTGCATTGGGCAGCTCTGAGGAGTAAGAAATTTCTCAGGTGGTTAGTCAAGTTTAAAAACCTTGTTGAAAGAAATACTGGCATATAGTGCTGTGCAAATATAAGTAGGAAATTGAGTAGCCACTCTATATGCTTGCATAGAGTGCCAGATAAAATACATGAAAGCTCTACATATTTAGCAGATAGGGCAGGGACGAGTGTAGTGCTCGCTGCTTAAACCCTAAATATAGTGATGGTTCAAAGAAGTAGGGACTTTCTAGAAATTTTATCTCTTACATTCTAGTCTCTTATGTTTAAATGCCTTAAAATATTCAGTACTATCTTTAATATTACTTCTATATTACTATTATATTGGCCTATAGAAAAATGTCCGCCATCTTGGATTTTCGGCCATATTGGATTGATTTTTTTTATTCTGTTTTGGTGTCTATTTTGTTTTTACCTAAACATGCTTTGTGTCAAATTTCAGGCTTTTCCTATCTTTAAAAGTTTTATTTGATATATCATCCATTTATGATCAAGAATTTGGCGCTTAAGAAAATGTCCGCCATCTTGGATTTTTTTCGGTCATATTGGATTGGCCTTTTTTTAATTCTGTTTTGGTGTCTAATTTGTTTTTCCTAAACAAACTTTGTGACAAATTTTAATCTTTTTCTTTCATTAAAGTTTTATTTGATATATCATCTATTAATGATAAAGAAATTTGGCGGCCATTTTAGTGGTCATTTTAAGTGGCTATTTCAATGGTCAAGATCAAGTTTTCCAGTTTGGTATCCACCTTTATCGGATTCAGCATACCTTAAATAGGTAAAATACACCAAGATACCACTTGTACTACAAAATGCCTCTAGCATCTTATAGAGAGCCAAATTCTCAAAATCAGTCCTGTCTAATTGACTTTTGTGAATTTTGAGTGGTCCATTTAAAGTTAAAGAAATTTCCACATCAAAATACAAAACATAAACTACCTACAGTATAGAACACAAATGTGCAGACAGGCCTAGCTCTATACTGGTGGCAAGGACAGTTCACTTTCTGTTCCAGCAGAATATTGGTTAAGGCTTGGTTATTTCTTATGGAAAATGTTATATTACATTATTTCTAAATAGAAAAGTACTTGTTTATAGAGTATGAGTTACAAACAAACAGTGTTCATATGTAAAAAGACAAAACAGAGATGTTATTTATTCTATAAATTCTGGTGTATTTTTTTTTTTTAAACTTTCTTTATAATTTAATCAGTCTGTAATGAGAGTTTCATAAACATTGAATACATAAAGGCTGCAATAGGTTAACAAGGCAAATCTGTGTTTGTTTCAGATAATATTTGAAGGAATTAGAGGGAAGGGTTATAGAGGAGACATTGCTATTGATGGTACAGCATTAGTTGATGGTGGATGTACACAATTTCCAGATAACTCTCAACCAAGTCAATGTAAGCTTACAATTATCACCCTTTCCTTCAATAACTGCACATGACCTTTTTTCTATAGTTATTTTGTTAATAAATTAATAATAAAGATTGATCGCTGAACCAAATTTAGATTTTTTTTTTCCTTAAGTTAAAGGCAATTGCCAATTTTTGTGTCTAGTCTAATGGCTGTGTTATAGATAAATTATTTTGCAGGGAAAATATATACATTTTAGACAAGTCTTGAAGAAAAATACATTTGTGTCTGAAGTTAAATGGTGTTAATTTTAATTTTATTTTTCTTGTAGCATCACTTGGAACAGTCACATGTAACTTTGACTCAGATTACTGTCAATGGATTCAAAGCACCACTGATCAGTTTAACTGGTCACGCATCAATGGCTCTACCTCCAGCCAAGGTACCGGTCCCTCTAGGAGACCATACTAGTGCTGGTCAATCAGGGTATGGGACAGGATCATACATTTATATAGAAGCGTCTGGGCGACACACACCTGGTGACAAAGCTGATTTGATGACTCAGATCATACCTAGCACTTCTCCACAGGTAAAAAATGCATATTTACATTGTATATATATTTTTAGCTTGACTATTCGATAAGAATAAGTAGAGCTATTGTAGTCACCCGAGCGTCCGCGTCGGCGTAACCACTTATGTTAAAGTTTTTGTAATAGTTCAAATATTTTCAAAGTCCATTGACATATGGCTTTGAAACTTTGCACACTTGTTCACCATCATGACACCAACCTGTAGACAGGAGGAGGTAACTCTATCAAGCATTTTGACAGAATTATGCCCCTTTTTCGACTTAGAATTTATGTTAAAGTTTTTGTAATAGTTCAAATATTTTCAAAGTCCATTGACAGTTGGCTTTGAAACTTTGCACACTTGTTCACCATCATGACCCCAACCTGTAGACAGGAGGAGGTAACTGTATCAAGCATTTTGACAGAATTATGCCCCTTTTTTCGACTTAGAATTTACGTTAAAGTTTTTGTAATAGTTCAAATATTTTCAAAGTCCATTGACATATGGCTTTGAAACTTGGCACACTTGTTCACCATCATGACACCAACCTGTAGACAGGAGGAGGTAACTCTATCAAGCATTTTGACAGAATTATGCCCTTTTTTTCGACTTAGAATTTACGTTAAAGTTTTTGTAATAGTTCAAATATTTTACAGGTGTAGGTAACTGTATCAAGCATTATTTTTTACTTTCAAGCACTAGAATAGTCCAGCGTTGCTGTCCTACCGACAGCTCTTGTTTTATGCTTGTTTACCTCTTCAATATATCCTGAAGGTTATTTTACATATAAAATCAAATGGATGAATAATGTTAAATGATTTTTAGGCAAATATAAATGAATAGAAAACGGAAACATTTTGGGGCTTACCAAAATATTGTTTTACTTTTGTCATGATGTGATTTTAAAAAAATGTAAAATGAACATAAACATAAGAGTATATGTCATTGGTTAGTGTGGGGATAAAATGTATGGATCTTTTACATAAAGATGTTGATCCTGTTAAAAGCAGAATAAAAAGTTTTCATGTTTATTTATTGAAACTTTTTTCTTACTTTAAATTCAGGGCAGATGCTTTTCCTTCTGGTATCATATGTATGGTGGATCTATAGGGAAATTAAACATCTACAGTATATCAGGGGGACAGCAGACATTACTCTGGACGAAATCTGGTACTCAAGGAAACAAATGGCAACAAGCAAGTCTTAACTACGTCAGTAAAACTGATTTTAAGATGATGATAGAAGGAACAACAACAGGTGGTTACCGTGGTGATATAGCTGTAGATGATGTATATCTAGAGTCAGTACCCTGTTCACAGTCAATTGTTATCACAAAGACAAGTAAGTTTACATTAAAACAAATAACAATCATAAAAGAGTTAAATACCATGTTAAAAAAAATCCCCACAACTGTAAAACACAGTTTTCATCCCATTTGATAGTTTAAATACCTTGCTCTGAGACATCCTGAACAGATTTATTTCCATATTATTTTTAGTCAGCAACTGTCATAAGAAATTGCCTTTTTGTGTTTACTGCAGCTGGTATTACAAATTGTAGATATTTGATATTTGTTTACATATAGACTTACATGATTTCTAAGTAAACATTAAATTTTGTAGTATTTCATTGATTAATCACTTTTGCATTAAGTTATGGTCTAGATATTTTTAAAACTTATCATAATTTTTAGCTCGACTTTTCTATGAAAAGGGGAGCTATCCTACTCGCCCCGGCGTCGGCGTCGGCGTTAGCGTCGGCGTCGGCGTCACACCTTGGTTAAGTTTTTCGTACCACCCCACTTTATTTCAGAAGTATTACAAGTATGGCTTTGAAACTTACCATACTTGTTCACCATCATAACCTCCATCTACAGACAAGAGTACATAACTCTGTCAAGGTTTTTGACAGAATTATGGCCCTTTTTTGACTTAGAAAGTGTATTGAGCTTGGTTAAGTTTTTTGTACCACCTCACTTTATTTCAAAAACCATTGGAGGTATTGCTTTGAAACTGACCATACTTGTTTACCATCACGACCTTCATCAACAGACAAGAGGACATAACTCTGTCAAGGTTTTTGACAGAATTATGCCCCTTTTTGACTTAGAAAATACATTGAATATGGGTAAAATCCACTTATTGCCTTAACCCTTTGAGATATTGCTTTGAAACTTTTAATGCTATTTCACATCATTACCCCCATCTGTACGCAAGAGAAGGTAACTCTGTCAGGGATTTGTTTTTTAAAAATTAAGGCCTTTTATCGACTTAGAATCTTGGTTAAGTTTTTTGTACCAGTCAACTTTTTTGACTGAACTGGTTGAGATATTAAATTGAAAGTTGGAATACTTGTTTACCATCATGGTCCCAAACATGGGCAGGAGAAGGTAATTCTGTTAAGGATTTTATTTGAATTATGGCCCTTTTTGACTTAGAAACTCAGTTAAAAATTTTCATTCTTGTCCACTTGTTGACCTAACCATTTGAGATATTACTTTGGAAGTTGGAGTTTCGTATGTGCCATCATGAGACCTATCTGTAAGCAAGAGAAGATAACTCTGTGAAAATGTTTCTTGATTTGTACTTAGAAATTCCTAGTTAAAGTCTTGTGTGCCCTTAACTGTCAAAGTTTTGTTTTATAGGCAAGCACTAAAAAAGTCGAGCGCGCTGTCCTTCTGACAGCTCTTGTTAAGTACATTTTGTAAATGTTATTTGTTATGAAAGGTATAGATACTATCAATGATTCAGGGTTTTGTTTTTAATTTATCTAAAATTAATTGAGAATTCTTACAATTATTATCTATGAATTTCAGAGACCTGCACATTTGAGTCTGGACTTTGTGGTTGGACACAGGACACAACAGATAACTTTGATTGGACACTAAATGGCAACAAGACAACAAGTTCAGGAACAGGTCCAACCACTGACCACACCTTCCAAACTGGACAAGGTAAATTTCATTTATACCAAGATTTTTATATCAAAGTACATTGATAACTTAGAAATATAATCTAATTTTCATTTTTTTCCCATCAAAAGTGATGCATAATGCTTTTTTTTTCTTAAAGAATATGTGATATGGAAGTTTTTTGGATTAGATGAAAGTTCATTAGAACTGTGAAGTGATCGTGAATGTGTCTATTTTTTGTTACATTTAAAGAAAAGAATACATTGTACTAGGTTTGCACATTCTTTGTAATAGATTTGATACTAAATATTGATATTCATGAATGTTATAATTTATAAAAAATTTTATATAAGGTACCTTCTTTGATTACATACATGTGAACTTTTTCTGGTGCCAAGTAGGGAGATTTGACCCTAAAAGTAGGTAGATTGAGTTTGTTGGGAGGGAGATTTTTGGAAACCGGACTTTTTGTGTACAGGAAGGTCTAAACACACAATAATTAAAAGCATTAACTACAAGTTCTTTAAAAACATTTTATTTTGCATGATAACTAATTAACAACCCAATGTTATCATTAAAAACTCTTTACACAATTAGAACTGTCTTTATATGTCATGAATACATGTTTTTTGACTTCACTGTACACAAGTGTTGGCTAAATGGCATACACAGCCCATATCAGACACATCAGGTTGCTTCTCGGACAGAGTTGTGACGGCCAACCATGACACTAGCGTTGTCAGACCCATACCCAATGCATTGCTTCCATGGTATATTCTGAAACAGAAAAAAATATCAATTATCATACCTAATATATTATTCATGATTTCAAAATTTAAAACAGTTTAAATTGATCCTTTCAATTAGATGTAAATCATTGCCTTACAGAAATATTACATTTGTAGACACCTGTCGTGGATGCGTGTTAATCCCCATGACAATTAACAATTTTCATTCAAAATTACATAATTGGCATTAATTGACAGTGTATTTGTTTAACAATAAACGGTACTTACCAGATTTTAGTCTCCCTCGCATGTGCCTAATTACTGTTGTCAGCAATTATAAACCCGAAGTCAAGCTGTGAAAAACTGACAATATACAAACAAATTTGCCGATACCAAGGTCAAGGTACATGTAATTAGACTGTGTTACATTTTTAGTGAAATAGACAGACTGTTGATGGGTAAAACAAATCGATATCGGTAAACCAGTCAATAAATGTTTACACTGATCATGATTACTGAAACGCTTGTGTTGTAGAATTTTTATTGCTTTTGAAATGAAATATCGGTAGTTTGTAAACCCCGAGCGGTAGCGGGGTCTTAGTTGGCCAAAATCGGTAGTCTACCGCCCAAATCGGTAGGGTTCACATGTATGTGATTACAAAACTTAACTCACTCATTGCTTAATATTAACTAGCAACAAGTAAATTTTCTATGTTGTTTTTTTGTTTCAGGACATTATTTGTATATTGAGGCATCAGCTCCAAGGAAGACAGGAGACAGGGCACGTATAATGACATCTAGCTATCCAGCCACCAATGGAGAGTGTGTCCAGTTTTACTATCACATGTATGGTACAGGTATGGGGAAACTCATCGTTCATACTATGTCTAATGGTCAGATAACTGGAGACGTCTTAACTATCTCTGGTAACAAGGAAACAAGTGGATTCGATGAACAGCAACAGTTCAAAGTTTCGATTTCATATCAGGTAATTTATATACACCTTTTTTTTTTAAATTCATGAAAATAGATTGTGTTGTAAATGCAGTTCTATCAAACTTTGTACTGGAAATTTTATAAAGATTCACAAGCTTAATTTTCTCTAATCAATATTCATGTAATTCAATCCTGTGAGGTCTTCTCTTATTTTCCTTTTTCCATGTTAATACTTATCTAAAATGTGGCGTACGTCACACTATTTCACATCTAGATAGAGGTTTTGATACATAAAAATCAAAGCACTGAAAGTACTGTTGGAAGGAAATTTTCATAGAAATACCTAATGCGTGTGAATTAAAAACAAAGGAATATGTGCAAGCTTCAATCTACAGCTAGCTGATTTGATGACGTAAAATTTGACGTCATTGTTTCCGTTTTTGCACCACTCATGTTCATGGGCTGATAACTAGTTCTTTGCCCAGGGCCCCAAACCCATAAGTTGTGACACTCATAATCAGTTGAAATCATAGCAATTCTGTTACTAATATAGTAATTAGTGAATTAATAGATAATTACTACTGCATTAATTTATGCACACAAAGAACCACTCAGTTTGACCTAAATTGCCCA